GTTGGAGACTCATTGCTTCAATCCGTGCCTGCTTCGTGCGAGTGTGCGAGTCGAAGCCAGGCCCTGCCTCCTGAAGCCCTTAATCCCAGAGCCTACGCTGGCCCTATATACATCTTGAACCGGAGCCTGAACTCCTTCAACACTTATATACACCCCCCGCAAGAGCTTCGCTCAACCGACAAGCCCTAGCCCTATAGCGCCTCATGAAGGTCCGTAGCCTTCAAGAATCAAGAGCAGCCCTCATGAACAAAAATCAGGATGACGCATTCAAGCAGAGAAACCCAAGCTCCACGAATAGAGAAAACCCTGGACCGCAGCCTTCTCCCCTAAAATGCGCAGGCGATCGACCGTGTGGTGGCTGCCAACCTGGACTTCGTTCCACCCTACGGCCACTATGCAGACAAGTGTGTGTTGTGTTTGATCTTCAAGGTGTCAGCACACCAGGCATTTCTGTTTCGGGCTCCCAAAAATGGAACCCAACATCCGTCCATCTTGAATCTATCCGTTCCGGCTTCTAAGAACTTCAGACATCTTCAGACAATCCTGCGACTGAGGCCTTCACATGTCGGGGTCCAGGGCTAAGGGAACTTCCGGCATGGTGGCGCGACAGCCTGTCAAGTTCGTGATTTTTTATATAAGCCTGAGGGTTTCGAGATTCACTTGCGGCAGCCACCGTACTAGTATCGTGCCGCGTTTGGTGTTTTCAACCCGTGCATTTGCAAGTAATGTCGTGTGTAGGGCCACAGCTCAAGTGCTGCCAAACCCTGAACTGCCATGCGGCTACATGCATCTCCAAGCAATCGGCAAGTGGTCTGCCATGGGAGTTCGAGCAGAGAGCTATTTCAATACGATCCCGGTTAACAAGAGTGCTGGTAAAGGGGACGCTACTGAAAGATAGCGATGTTGCGCATGTGTGTGCTGTTGGTCTGTGTGATGCACCAGCACCAAGCCACCCTGATGGTGAACACTGGGTGGTTGAGACGCAGCCAAACCCAACAGCGTATATCCGAAGCCCAGGACTTGAAATACTAAACGCTACGCCCTGAAAAAGTTAGGCTCTTGAAATATACGGCAAGGACATGTTAGCCCAAAGGCTGTCGACCTGATGTCAAAAGTTGGCTGAATTTGGCTTTTCGTTTGGAGGTTTGGGCAGTTCGGGCGTGTCGAACCCCACCACCCAAAGCCCCAAATCCCCCGCGACTCCACCCCGACAAACTTGCAATTTTCCCCAACCCCGAAAGCCTTAAGCGCTTTGGCTGAGGCAGCGGCGCCTCGTTGTATGTGTGGCCCGGCATAGTACTACTATGACTACGAATCTGTTACTAGCACTATTGCTGTTGCCTTTAACTCGTATTGTTTCTGCAGCCTTTGAGGCGGCTCGGTATACGGTTTAGGCTGTAAGACTCAGTATGTTTGCTTCCAAGGTCTAGGGCTAGTAAACCTCGTATCCCGTCTAACCATCAACATCTTGTAGTACCCCCAACTTGTAACACTTTGTAATATCCCTTATCGTGTCCCTTTATAGTAGCTCTTGTAGTATCCCTTACAGCAACCCCTTATAAATATCCCTTATTGTGTCCTTCATAGTAGCCGCATTATAATGTACCTTATAAGATCCTTTACAACAAACCTTATAGTATGCCTTTACAGTAACCCTCTATGGCAAACCCGCTAATTCAAGCCAAGGCGGCCTTTCATGGTCGGAAGTGGCCCGCAGTTGGGCCTAGGCCCAAGCAACGAGCGGCCGGGACCAATTTGATCCTTCAATTGCCTAAGTCATGCTTGCCTGAGCTTTACCTCTCGCATGCAGATGAGCCGTGTGTATGCATCTATGCATGGATGAATGCATGCACGCATCTGCGCATGACTATATGGTTTATTGCATACGTATGAATGTATGTATGTACGTATGTATGTAGGTATGTATGTACGCATGTAAGTATGTATGTGCATGCATGTATGTATGTGTGTTCTTACGCATGCAATGGTATGTATGTACATATATGTTTGCATGCATGCAACCCTGAATGATACGATATGGTATGAAATAATGCGGTACGGTACGTTATAACATCACACACACACGCACACACACACACACACATATATATATATATATATATATTTATTTATTTATTTATATATACAAGCATGTGATATTGTATGAACTGATTTGACATGATATGACATGAAATGTCTGTAGACAGAATATGTATATAGTGTATATGGGTACATGGAATGGTGTGTTTGGTTTCAAATATAATATCTATACATATGCAGCTCAGACTTATTCAAATCTATAGTTCAGACTACAAGTACATGCCGATGTTGGATTCATGGGTGAAGGTGCGACTTTGCCAGCGAGCCTAGCCTCAGCAGAAGGCTCTTGAATAGGTTTCTGGAGTCAGGATTTAGGTTTCCAAGGCCTGGTACCCGGCCCGCTAAATTCGCTCTCGCATAAGTACCTCTTCTTCATTGCGCAGAGCTAAGAGCCTCGTGCAAGCACAGCATTTCTGCATACGTTCTTGCGAAGCTCCAGCAAACCCCAAGCCGGAACCTGCCGATCGCTGACTTTTTGGACGAAGTTGAGACACCCCGTCATCTATTTAAACCGTACTGCCGCGAAGCTCTAATTATGGCTGTAAAGAAGCCGCAGACCTGGCTTTTGTTATATACTACACCTATGATAAGGAACCCTAAGGAATAGTGAGCTACACAAATGAAGGCTGGAATGTCCGAAGCCCTATGCCAGCAAGGTTTACTTTCATGGTCCTGGTGTCCCCCGTGGGCCCCTACTACGGTGGCTCCGTGCCCTGCAAACTCGTGGATGAGCCGCCAAGCTTCGAACATTTTGGGTTGTTTTTGGTGGCTCTCTTCATGGCTCCATTAAGGGATCCTTTAAAGGGTCCCTTGAAGCGTTCTATAAGATGCTTAGGGCTTGGGAGTTGGGTCGCAGGTTTTGGTGCCATTCTTCGGTTCGCGCCAACCCGTTCTTGAACCTGTGACTGTGCCAAACACCGTCTCCGACCGTCAGTGGGTTTTCGGGCTTTGGATTGAGGGATTAACACCAACCGAAATCGCATCTCGCCAGAGACCCGAGTTGCTGGCAGAAAGTTCAAGGATTAGGGCAGCGGGTTAAGGTTTCAGTTTTAACCATTAGGGCCAGAATGCCGGATTACACATCGAGTGAGTTCAAGGTTGCATTTTCCTCAATGTGAACTCCTAAACCAAAAGCATCCTATGCCCGAAGGCCCCTTGCTGTAGTAAAGGGTCCAACCTGTCTCCTTCTGGCGTTCTTTCTGCATCCTCCTGGGTTCTGAGTTAATGTAATACAGGAACCTGATTAAGAAACGCGGGGTCCGTATTAAGGTATGAGTCTTACTATTTCATGTAGGGTTATATATATAACGCCAGGGTTTCTTACTCAGGTTCATACATTAGACCGATGAAGAACGGCCTTTGGATCCAGGGCCTTCATAACAGGATCCCTGATGTAATTTCATTACGGGAGGGGTAGACTAAAGTGCCTCTCCTGCACCCCGCCTCCCTTCTTTGTTTCTCTTGTTTGGTGTGGTTTGAATGTAACACCGGAAGATCATCCCCCAGCCGTAGCTTGGGATTCTTTGGGCGACCGAAGCCCGTGCTTGGCGAGGTTCGACCGAGCGGCACCGTTGGGAGTCGGGCAGGTCTTCGATGCGTACCTTAAACCCTGAACCATCTCTAGTTAAATTCATGATACCCTAAAGCTTGAATTCCAACTATGTGTACTCTGCTTTACCTCCAGAAGGAACTAAGCGTACCCTGCTTGATCTCCAGACGGTCTCCTTTGCTTTTCTTCTTAATGGGAATATTGAACGGATTCAATGGGGCAACGTGAATAGCCGTGAAGTTATCTGTGCATCGACAAGTAGCTGGTTAGACAGCATTTTTGTTGCTCGTTTCGACCTCTAAAACCCTACCACTGCTGCACGGTCAGTGAGGGCTATTACGGAACAGCAACTAGAGCCCCCTGCCGCAAATGCGTACGCCAAGACACCAGCACTTGAACCAACAAGGCCCGTACCTACCCGGCAGCCCAACACTCCCTGATTTTGATAAATGGATCTACCAAGGCTTCTATGTTGAGACGCTGAACCAAGGGAAAGCATGAACTTAGCTAGGTATTTGACAGCTCTCAGACGTAAATGGTTCCCCTTACCTACCATTTGCATCCCTTCTTCTTAGGCTAAAGGTGCATAGGTGACATTAAGGGAAAGTGTGGGTTTAAGTTAGGCTATGCTTTTGTTTTTTTGTTCTTTCGAGTAAACCTCTGTCAACTGTGATCGACTTATTGTGGGACTGCAGTCCATGGTGCTGAGCGCCAGCCGTGCACACTTCCAGATAATCAGCTCGTGGCTAGTCAAGCGGCTAGTCTCGGTATAGCAGCTAAGGTGAGCCATGTTTCGACAAGCGCACTGATACATGCCCTCTCGCTCTTGCTGTTGCAGTTCCCTCCTCCTTTGCTTTTCGCTTGAGTTGTTTTCGTTGCTACCATGCCCAATGCATGCACTCTTGTACCAGTATAGTAATATGTTGCTACTGCTAGCTTCGCTCGTCCATTATCGAAAAGCTAATGTTGTACTTGTACTATGGACTATGGCTGCAGTCTTGCGATTGCTACTCGGAGTACCAGTGACGCCAGCTGTCTTACCAAGACTATGTATTTCACAGCGTCGTGGTAGTGGTCTTGCTGTCTTTGCTGCTATAGCGTCTGACACGAACTTGACGGTATTAGTCGTACTGTAGGTGTTCGTAAAAAGTGTAGCAGTCGAGAGCTTCGTGGGTTAGAAGCTTCGACTGTTGAAGGGCTTATGCGTGTCACGAGTTGATCATGGCAGTCTCCTGCAGAGGTTACTGCAATATAATACTCTTCCTTGATAAGGCAAGGATTGAATTAGTAATTGGCAGCCGGACATCAAGGCCCGTAACGAGAGTGTCAGGGATCACGAAACTGTCGGCAGGTGAAGTGCGCGGGCAACTATGCTGCCGACATTGTCCCAGCAAAGCAGGCACATGTAAACCCACAGTCCCGAAACCTCCGGAGGAGGCTTCTGGGATATTCGAGGGCTTGGGGCTTTCGGCGTTACGGTTTAGGGGTATTTTCAGGGTGTAGGGTTTAGGGGGCTTAGGGACGGTATCCATGAAGGATACCTGTTACCTGTGGCACCACACCCTTTTTGGTTCAACGGGCTCTGGTCGTGAAGCTGTTGGGCAACTACTCGACAAGTACCTCCTATCTCGTGGCCCAGGACCCTACCCTTAACCCCGAATCGCCGACCTCAGAAGCACGCATACTGAGGAACTATAAATGAGGAACAGTAGAAGGTGGGCTTCATCGTCATAGGGTTCAGGTAAACCATGGTAAGCCCGAAACGAGTCGAAACCCTAAAGGCCCAAACCCGAAACCGTTCAACGACTGAGAGTGGTGAGGGCCCCTCACCACCGGGGCTAGCTGCTTAAGGCATGGGTGTAGGGCGCAGGGTTCAACATAGAGGCCTATGTAACTATTACTCTTTTCCTTGGGCATACTTGTATATACCCCATACTGTGAATTACCCAGGCTACTATGTTAGAGTTCAGGGTCCTCAGTTTGAGAATTCGTATTGTCTCGGCTCCTCAGCTTTGCCTTGTCGTGACGATGGCGTGCCAGACTCCTCCACCCACATGGCTTCCCTAGGGAACGCCACTTAAGGAATATACCCTAAATTATGGGGGCCTTAAGGTATCCCCAAAAATAAACTACAATGGAGACTACAGGTAAACCGTTGAAGCAAGGTGCGGAACTTTGAGTCTTCCCCCGTCAGAGTTTGCTCTGGCCGGGCCGCCCCGGAGCTTACAGCTGGCGCCTATGGCACACGGTTTAGGGTTTAGGGTTTAGGGTTTAAGGTTTAGGGTTTAGGGTTTAGGGTTTAGGGTTTAGGGTGGTGGACAGAAAGCAAGCTCACCGCTTTGCGGCTCACCGGCCTGGCACCAGCGGTGGCATTCCCTCCTGACTTCCAAACTACCCCGCCGCAGGAGCTTTGGCCTCTTTAGCCTGTGAGTCAACCGTGTTTTTGATAGATGCGTCTTTGAACCCTAAATCCTAAACCCTAAACCCTAAACCATGGGACCTGTGGTGCCGCCCTGAGCTGAGCTTGTACTGTGAAGTTGTCTTGTCGTTGTGAGGAGTCGAACCGAGAGACCTCGTCTGGCATGCCCGAGTTGCGAGAGCGTAAACCCTAGCAGGGGCTGTTTGAACCTCCCTGCAAGTTTAGGTCCTAGGTGATGATTTCAAAAGTTCAGGCTGATCGGATTTAATTAGACTGGATGCACGTAGAACATCAACGTGCTTCGACATGACGGCCTTTCACATTGCATAAGGAATATAGAAGGGGGCAGGGAGATATACTAAAACCCTATCAACCCGCTTGTAAGCCCCACAGACGAAACCCGATAAACCCCTGTGATGCGCCTAAAGAGCCCCCTTGGCCGAGATATCCCCCTATGAAAGCCCCTATAAACCCTCCATGAAGCTCCTGTAAAGCCCCTATAAACCCTCCACAAAGCCCTAAACCCTAAAACCCTATACCCTAAACCCCTAAACCCCTAAACCCTAAACCCCTAAACCCTAAACCCCTACACCCCAGACCCTAAACCCCTAAACCGTCAGCCTCTATAAAGCCCCGGCCCCCTTGCCCTCAGGCCAAGGATCAAGGCTTCCCGATCTGCCTCTACTTGGATGCCAAGGCCGGAACAGGGACAAGGGTGGTTAAGGGCTTACAGGGTTTGGGTTTAGGGTTTCGGGTTTAGGATTTAGGGTTTAGTCAATAGGTATTTTCTTACAAGGGTTGCCACAAGGATATCTTATCAGGGCTCTATGTTCCTTGATGTATAAGGCTTCAGGCTGAACCCTAGACCCTGAACCCCAGGGTGGTGGTCTTGGGGGCCTAAATAATCCTATTTTGGGGGTTCCTTATTGCAAGTATAGTAAAGGCGCCCCAAAACCCTATTCTAATTATTAAGGCCCTTACATTGATCTAGTTCTGAGTTTCTCTTCAGTGCTCCTGAATATCCCTGCTGTGCGGGCTTGTCCTTGCAATCTAGGACCCTAAACCCCAACCCTAGACCCCTAACCCTAACCCCTAACCCCTAAACCTAAACCCCTAAACCCGAAACCCCAAAACCCTAAACCCCTAAACCCGAGGTTTAGGGTTTAGGGGTTTAGGGTTTAGGGGTTGCCGTTTAGGCTAATTGGGATTTGGGGTTTGCAGGCTTCGGTTCTAGGGTCTTTCTGGCCACTCGGACTATAGGATTGCTCTTTGAATCAAGGGTTTAGGGTTTAGGGGTTTAGGGTTTAGGGTACTCGGATTATAGGGTTGCTCTTGGATAAAGGGGTGCTGAAGTGTCGGACCTGGTGGGTGAGCAAGTGGTTGTTGATGGAGCTGTAGGAATGAGATGGCACTGAGGTGGGCAAGCCTGCATGGTTTCAAGGTACTGCTGCAGACTAGATCCCGCTTTAAAGCCCACGTGACGAAACTCTGAACCAACATCATGTCCCTAAACCCTAAACCCTAAAACCCTAAACCCCTAAACCCTAAACCCCTAAACCCTAAAACCCTAAACCCTAAACCCCTAAACCCTGTACCCCTAAATGTGACTTAGGTACACTTGCACCTTGAAAATCCTGGATCCTGGAACCTTGGGCCTTTAAGCATGAAGATGCTACTCGCGAAACCCTAGGAACCCCGTAAGCTCTTTAAACCAGGTTTAGGGTTTAGGGTT